GCCCCAAACTTTGCACAGTTTCACCCAGGGACTCATCTCCTTGGAACAGTAGCCTGGCACAACCCAGAGAGCACCACCTTCCTGAAGGCACGAAGTTGCAAGTCAGGGGCAGGAGAGTGAGGAGGAGTCTCATGCAGATCAATAGACCCACTTAGGACTAAGGTTGTAAGCTGGGACTCCACCTCAAGGTCTCTTCCCACACTAGTTATCCTTCAGGACACTTTCACAAGAGAGGGGCATTGAGTGGAACTCAAATCTCAATCCTAGATCCCAGCAGGAGGCACTAGGCAGTGATTCCCCGGTACTTACAACATAGTTATCTCTCACCCTCCCCCATCTGATGTCAAAAGGTCAACATCATCTGCTCTACACAGGAAGAGGCTGGGTGTGCATTCAAATGTGTACCTTCCAGGCTTTCAGATGTGTACATGCTAGTGCAATGGGGGGCTGACACTCTAATGTCAGGGAGGGCCTGTAAACGCTGCCCAGTGATGGGCAGAGAACAAGCAGGAGGCAAAGAGGAGGGCCTAAGCAGATAGCTCCTTTAAGGTCACGGTAAAGTGCCTATGTGGGCATAGTCCCCTGGTTCTACCTGGGGACTACCAGGGATTTCTGCCGGTCTGAGCACCCTTGGTACCAGGGCTCAGTTTCCTAGTCACTTTGCAGTGTTTAGGTTCGGGCCACTAAAGGGGATGGTCACTGGGCTGCTAGAACAGTACTAAAATGGGGTCTTTGAGGGGGCCCAGGGCCCATCCACTAAAGGCTAGAGAAGCCCCCATAAGGACTCCCGAAGGAAGTTCAGGTATCCGATGGGCTCAGAGAGATGGAAGCAGGGGTGTTGGCACCATAGTTGGGTGCTAGATCTCCCAGAGCACCAGAAGAAGCACCCAGATTGAGCAGCCCTAGAGACCCAGGGATCAACCTTCGCTCCTCAGTTGCCCAGTGCTGGATGCCCTTGGAAAGGAGATAAAGCTCACCCACCTTTTCACCTCCTTCTCCCCAGCTCCTCTTCCAATTTCCCAGGCAAGGGGAGGTGGGTGCTCTGGGGCTAGCCTGCCCCTTGTGGTCTCTGACTCTGACCTGCCGAGGGAACAGCTCCCCCTTAGAAATGAGCGCCAGGGGCAGGGGTCCAGTTTATATGTCTTGCCGTTGTTTGATGTACACACATCCACTCTATTTACTACCAAATAAAAGAAATACATCTGTGTTGCCAACAGAAACAGTTGGAAGGCTGGCTCGGAGCTCTCCCAGGGCCTGAAGGCAGTCAGAGGTACTCAGAGCACTGTTGGAGACTCCTATAGCATTGGCACATAGGAGGATGAGGGTCCCTGGTCACCAGGTGGTGGTTTGGTTAGGCTAGTTTTACCAGGTGGCCTGTGACAGAACTCCAGGATCAACCTGGTGCTCGGGAATTTTTCAGTGGGGAGAACTGAGGTGGGAACACAAACACCCTGCTTCCTGCCCACCCATGCCATCTGTTCTTAGCTCACCCTAACCAGGGACCATCGAGAAGACCAGTCACCCAGGGTCACTTTGAACCAAGTTCATGACTGTCCGTATGCCTGAGCTATCAGAATGGTGCTTAAATTTTTTTATTTTATTTTATTTTTTTTTTGTGCTTGGGTGTGTTAGAAATCTTGGGCTACTTGTATTGGTAGAGAAATATAAAGGAGAGGCGTCATGTGTGGTGTGTCAAGTGAGTGTATTCTGTGTCGTTTGCACTCATTTATCTATTGGTGGCCACTGTGGAATGTGGTGAGATCATTTTCATTGACCAGAGCATTGACCGGTATAAAGATCAAGCTCAGAAGTGTGAGTGGACAGAGAGAAAGCTAGGTTCCACAACCTGAAGGTGATAAAAGGCTAAAATGAGGGGTGTCCACCCAGCACCCTGGAACGGGGACCCTGGCTGCCCTGACCTCCCCTACAGATTATCCAGAGGAATTTCAGGAGGCCTCATAACTTTCCCCAAAATCTTCTTTAGTGATTAGTTCTTGAAGCTCCTGGGAATCCTCGCAGAAGCAGCTGGGAGATGGGCAGAGGATAAGAGAGAAACCAGCTCTGCAGTCCTGTACTGGGTTCCTTCTGACAGGAAGGTCTCAGAAAGACCCACTGTGGCCCCAGTCAGAAAAGCTTCAGTATTCCATAATGTCATAGCCTCCCTCCATGAACACTGAGAATACCAGCAGGACCCCACTGAGCGGGACGGTACTGTGAACACCACCCTCCTCCTCCAGGACTAGACTGTGGCTCTGGGGGGTGAGAACCACCAGCCCAGGGCAGCAAAACTCCCGTGCAGGCGGAAAAGGGAGGCCACAGGGATCAGACGAAGGATAAACTGTGCTTGTGGAAAACCAGTTATGTCTTGACTTTCAAAGGACTGGGTCAGTCAAGAACCGTTTTCTAGAATCCAAACAAATAAAGAAGTATTTTCTTGGCATTTGATAACATCGTGCTCTGGCTGTAAAATCTGAGGACATGTTTGCTATTGCAACATTATTTTTAATGAGCTGTTACCGGCCTGTCCCGCAGTTCGTATTGCCAACAGTAAAAGGCATCACTCTGTTTGCAGGTAACACAAGGAACACCATATTTTGACCCCGATATTCTGTTTATTTTTCATTTACGACACATGCCCTCGTTTTTATTCCAAACCAGAGGAAAATAAAGGCAGATCTATCTTCACTGGGGTCCAGGCTAAAATTTTGCCACAAATACACACGCTGGTTTATTTGGGGCCAGTTTTCCATCAACAGAAACCGATAGCCGAGTTTCAGCCACCGTGGAATCAATTGTGTCGATTGAGTTGAAGGAGCTTGGCAACACAGTAAGAAGGGAGATCGCAGACAGGCGCTCCCCAGTGGTTGTGTCCCTGCTTGTAGCCAGGCTGGCTGAAATCTTCTCTGCCTTGCTGCTCCTCAGCCCCCCACTTCTGGCTCCCCAGCTCCAAAGGGACACAGCCAGGAATGTGATCAGGACACACACACACACACACACACACACACACCACAGAACTTGAAGGCAGGCGGCCATGCTGAGTTGGCAAGGGGCACATGAATATCTACTTCCCTGGCAGAGCAGTTCTTCTAAGGGGTCTTGGAATGCCTTGCCTCCCGTGCTGAGGACCAAGAGTGCAGTGGCCCGAGGAAAAGCACAGACATCCAAGCTTTGGCCAGGACAGGTGGGTCCAGACAGGTTACCCTGGAAGCAGCTTTGGGCACTGATGGACACCGAAAGCCTGGCCAGCACGATTACAGTCAACTGCATCCGTGCCTCCCTCCCGCCCTCAACCAGGGGCACATCCCCCACGCCTTCTGCACTGAATATCTGAAATTCTCCCAGCTCAGCTGAAACCTTCCGGTTCTAGAAGTTGTAGCCCCTTCTCCATCCCAAGGACTGCTAGATTTAATGATCTACTTCCAGACTCAGCTGAACTTCCAAGCTTTGGGCTCCCTTCTTCCCTCCAATACCCCTGGGGACAACTGCAGCCACCACTATCATCCAGGCATTCTAGGGATGCTTGGCCCGGAAGCTCTGGAAGGAACCCTGGCTTGGGGAAAGAAGACAAGCTTCAGCTTTTCTTTGCGAACCACCATCTGTCTTTAAGCTTCAGGCTGTCGTTTTGCTCAGTTTCGCAAACTAGATAAATCTAGGTCTTTATACCCTTCGCATCCCTCAATCTTCCTTGCTGACGAGGGCCTTTCAAGCAGTAGAAGATAGAGAGGAAAGAGCGCCCTTGGTCCTGAACAAAGCCGCCTCTGTCTCCTCTGCCGGCTAGATTCTAGGGGCGTGAGTCCAGGTCAGGCTTAGAGAGCACAGAGGCAGTCAGAGACCGGGGCAAGAAGAGATTCCCTGGACACCTGCTCTGAGGGAGAAAGGAAACCATCCAAAGTTACACACTCTGGCAACATGAAAGGCTTATTTTTTTTCTTTTTAATTAATTCGATTCCACAACAACATTAAGTGTAACAATATTTTGTGGAGTTTTTTTGTTTTGTTTTGTTTTCTTAAAAAGGGAGGGAACTCTAGCAGAGGACAGGGAGGGAAGGGGAAACAGACTACTCAGGAACGACAGAACAACAGGTGTAGCCAACAGGAAAACAGAGCAAGAGGCCCTGTGGAGTTGAGGGCGAATTTTACAAGAAAACTGTACATTTATCAAATAAGTTAAGATTCTCCTACGTTGATTGTCCTTCACTTAAAGCGCTCCACTCTGCCTGGCTTACTCCTCGGAACATTACCACCCTAGCTTGCTTTTTCCTCCCCACTCTCCCCTGCTGAATCTTCCCTCTACATTAATGATTATGCTGGGGCATGGTGGTCTTGATCCCCACAGAGGAAGGGACAGGGCTCCTGGGAGATTTTGTACAATATTGCACAGGTCAAAAGCACAATAGTTGCGGCAAAGTAAAAATGGGAGAGGATAAAAATGGGAGAGGATAAAATGTATTTTTTTTCCTACAAAAAAAAAAAAAAAAAGGAAACCAATTTCTCAAGCAGGTAACACAGTAGTCATAGTGATGTTAAGAAACAATTTTCGGACCAGTGACATACCACTAAATAAATGCTAGTGATAAATAAGAGCACTGGAACCCAGCCAGATGTGAGGCTGTTCCAATTTTTAAAGGTCTAATTGGGGGCTTTTGTCTTTTCCCTTTAAACGTTTGGTTAGAGAATTCTTAAGTTACGAACTCAGACGAATGACGTTAACTGCCGCAGATCGACCGGCCGAGTAGGGATCCCACCAGAGGTTACTTAGATTTTGAAAAACCGGGGTATGTGTGTATGGTATAACTGATTGGGGGTGGGAAAAGAAGAACCACACCCAGATATCCAGAAATAAATATGAATTCAAAATATGCATTCTCTCTCCAGATTTTGAAGACAGTACTATAGGAAATGAATAAACTAAAGGAAGTTGGGTTCCGTGCTTATTTTCCTTCTGAAAAAATACTCGCCCTCAAAAAAAAAAAAAAAAAAAAAAAAAAAAAAAAAGCCACAGCGCAACGGAAATTTAAGTGGAGGGCTGCACATTTATCAAAAAACTTGCAGTTGGAAGTTTGACCCAGGAATTTCGTCGCCCTCCCACCCCGTTTTCTCTCAATGGTAAGCAGAACCAAAAATAAGAGGAGAAGCGCCTCAAATTCATAGGAATGAATTGCACGAAAATGCATTGCAAATACTTACAAAATGCTATTGGGGGGTGGGAGGCAAGACAGTGAGCCCAAGCCCGGTTCCCAAGGCCGCTGGCCATACCTCGGCGCCCTTGGCCCAGCCCAGTCTCCTCCGGGGTCCCGGAAAGGTGGCCGGGTGCTCACTCCCTCTCCCCTCTCCGGTCTCACACCGGCCGTAGCAGCGGCACGGACGAGACCACTGGGTGCGAGTAGTAGACTGGGTGCGGGAAGGTGAGCAGCGGCTGGCTGACCGGCACCGGAGCCCCCGCGGCCGCCGCTGCCCCCTCGGCGGCAGAGTTCTCGTGGTAAAGGATGGGCACGCGCACGATGCGCTGCGCTGCGGCGTGGCTCAGGTTGGCAGCCTCCAGCTCGGCCGCCAGCTGTCGCTTCCACTTGTTGCGACGATTCTGGAACCAGATCTTGACCTGCGTCTCGGTGAGGTGAAGCGACGCGGCCAGGCCAGCACGCTCCGAGCTGCTCAAATAACGTTTCATGTCGAAGGTGGATTCGAGCTGGAAGACCTGGCTGCGGGAGAAGACGGTGCGCGTCTTCTTCTTGCGGCACGCGGGCTTCTTCTCGGGACTCTCGGCTCCCGCCTTCCAGTCCTCGGAGCCCGGAGTCGCCGAAGTCGCCCCTACAGTCGTCCCTGCCGCGCCAGACACGGCCTCGCCTTCTTTTTTGGCTTCCTCTGAGTCGCTCTCTTCCAGAATGATCTCGTCAGGGCTCTTGGAGTCCAGCTCCTTGTGGTCGGGGTCAGCCTTGAGCAGAGGCTCAGGGGAGTCACGGTCGGTGCCGGACGCAGGGGAGGAGTCTCGAAGGAGGGCCTTCTCGGAGGCTGCGGAGACAGACAAACAGATGCACACTCAAGCACAGCGACACAATCTTGAGAGAGGAGGGAGTCTGAGAGCAGCAGGCGCAATCCACAATTGGCCTTCGGGCCTCAGCTTTCCCGAGGTCTTCCTCTGTCCCCGCTGGGCTGCCCTGGGGGCGCCAAGACCTAGGACCCCTGCCTCCCAAAGCACTAGCGAGCCGATGATGGCAGCAAGGCCGCTCCTTTTATCCCACGTCTCCCGTGCCAGGGGCCAATGGAAAAATTATCCATAGTTAGGGTTCGTCCTTGCCTTCCAGGCCTAGTCCCCTACCCAGGCCATCCCAAGCCACCCATTCCTGCTGGAGGCCACTTTTCCCGGGAAGCGCAGCGCCAGGGCCTCCAACTCTCCCTCTTTTCTCAGCAAGTGGGATTGGAATCCCGGGCCTCATAACCAAGCGCACACGAAAGATGAGGGCTAGAGGCTGGGGGAAGTTGACCAAAACTCGGGTTTGCAGGTGTCAGGGCATCCCAAAACTGTAGTGACCCGCCCGAGGCGGGGATAGGACTAGCCGGTAGGGAGGGAGGAGAGAGCGAAAAGTTCAAAGAGAGGTCGGTACCTTCTGGTCGCGGGAGGTGGCCGCCGGCGGGGGTCAGGGTGTAGGGGTACCACCAGGCCGGGGAGCGCTCCAGGTAGTGCGCGGGCAAGGCAAACCTCTGCGCTGGGATCTCAAAGCGGGGGAAAGCCAGGTCGCCCACCTGCGAAAGCGCAAAGCCCGCGGCACCCTCCAGGGCACCCTTGGCTGCGGCGGCGGCAGCGGCGGCCGCGGCGGCGGCGGCCGAGGCTGGCGCGAAGAGCGTTCGTGGGGGCGGCTGAGGTTTCGGGGGCGGCCGGTGGTGGTCTCCGTTGAGCAGGTTCCTGATGGAGAACGGGGATTCCTTGGGCGCGGGAGGCTGGGGTGGCGGCTGCGGGGGTGGCGCGCTGGCAGTGCCCGAGGCGTCCGGCCCGGGCTCCGGCATGGTCCCCAGTCCTCCGGGTCCCACGGAGGGAGGGAGCGGGACAGGCGGGCGGCGGGGCGAGCAGGCTAGGGGCCGGAAATCAGACCATAAACGGAACTCAACTATGGGGCTCAAAGTCGGGGGCCGCCCCGGGCGCGAATCGAGCCGCGGGAGGGCGGGGTGGGGACCGGACCGGGGCGGGCTCGCATGGGGGAGGGGTCCAGAGGGGCGGGGAGCGGACCTGCCTCTGCGCCGAGGGAGCTAGGGGGCCGGGTAGAAGCTGCGGCTCCCCGGGAGGAGGCTGCGAGAGCGGTCCCCGGCTTGGGATGCGTCAATCCGGCGCCGGATGCTAATGATGAAATCAAAATGTCATCCAAGTTAAATGCGGGGAGTATACGGCGATTGGGCGCGTACAATGGCAAATGGGATTAGGCCGGCCAAGGCGCAGCCGAGCCCGGGCCCCGCAGCCGCCTCTGCCACCGCCCCCCTCCTCGCCTTCCCTCGGATTTTGGCGCTTTGGCTTCGGGCTATGAGAGCCCGCCTGTTATTGGCTTTATATAGTCCAATTAGGCAGCAAATGAGGACAAACCTATTAGCACAAAAGGATATTGGCTCTCGCTAAAGAGGCACTCGGAGAGCTCCCACCAAAGCGGGAGGCGCACGGGGGACCCCGAGAAGGAGACGCCCCCGGCCGGCCGGAGCACACCGACCTACGGGAGTCTGGAGCCAGCACCTCCCTCTACCCCCTGCGGCTCAGCTCCCGCAGCCGTCCCGCGGAAGGGGGAGGGGCAAGCCTGCCTGGCCCGAGTCACCTCGGGGTTACACGCGCTCGGCTAGCAGCCGCTGCTCTCCCACCCCTCCCGGCAAGGCAGGGGCCAGCTGTCCCCATGCGGCTGGAAAGCCTCGGTGGTGCGGGCCCAGGAAGTAGGGTGCCACTTGGGCCCCGGACAAACTCAGTTCTCTCTTTCCCCAAAACCTGCTAAGCAGGGCGAGGGCAAGAAGAGGGAATTAGGGTTCCCCACCCACCGTCTAGAGGAAAGGAAGAGAGTTCTTGTGTCTGCGGGCTCTGGAATCCGCGTAGCCTTGACCTTTGGCCCTGAGAACCCAGGAGTCAATCTGAATCGCCCGGGAGTAGGAGTGAACAAGCGACTCGGCTCTCTCTTGAGAGCGCAGGACCCTCCTACACCCGCGCTTCCCCCTTGTGAGACTGTCGGGCTAGCGATTTCCCGCACCGACGGCTGCACTCCGAAGGACACCACTCTCTTCTGAATGACCGTGTCCACGGCTCAAGGACCGACTCCAAACCTGCGGTCCGAAGAGAGCACTTCCCCAAGAAGTTTCCGGGTGGCGTTTAGGAGCTTTAATACAGGCTCCGAGAATCAAAGGCGCAGCGGAGTACCTTTCTCGGTTGTGACCGTGGCAGCGACACCTGCAGCGTGTCCCAGGGGCCTCCAAGTCCCTGGAGAACCAAGGCGGGCCTCTGAGGAATAGCTGGACTCCATCCGCCTTAACAGCTCCCTGAGTTGAGCGGGAAAGGAAGCCCGAGAGACAAGCAGTTCAATTACAGATTTCAGCGACAAATAAAATAGAGCTGTTGGTGGGGTCCCTTCCCCGGGGATAGTTCCTTGGCCCGAGAGAGATGACAATCTGTCCTCAGCCCTAGTGAAGCTCCCTTTACACCTGAGCTTTTTCCGCCCCACCCCTTTCTTTTTCTTTTGGTTGAGCCTTGTTTAATTCAAGCTTGCCTCGCCTAGTGCAGACCTGACCGCTTTGGGTCCCCAAATGGGAAGTAGGTTTATTTTATTTTTCAGTCCCAGGGCTCCTGAGCCTCCTCCACCAAATCTTGACGGTCGTATTTAAAGTTTTGACATTCATCCCACAGTAACGAACCCTACATTTGCCTTGTAAGTAGCGCTTCCATAAATGATTACTATTATTCCTCTGAGTTTGTACAAGGCTTTACTGGAATGCACAAGGGTACATCGTCTAAAATCCGAGTCGGAGCCAACCACAACTCGGAGGCTCAAACGGGGTGGGCAATACGCTCGGATTTTATAGAGAAAAGGTGTCCAGAGAGGAGACCATACCTAAGGCACCCAACCAGTGTTGGACAACTAGAGGTCATTTTCCTTCCCCCAAAGGCGGAAAATGTTCTCCGCGAGCGTAGGCAACGTGAGCTCGGTGCGCACAGCAAACCCGGTGGCCCAGCAGGCTGCGGAGGGTGTGTGCGGGTCTGATGGGGAGCTGCCGCAGATGTGTGCACACTCGCGAAAGTTCGAACGCCAGAGGGCTACTTTAAACTAGGGAAAGAGGAAGCACTTCCCAATTCTTCAAAAGGCGGTTGGTCGTTGTGAGTCAGTGTCTATCCTACTCTCTGCCTACCGTGCGAGACTGTGTGTTCAACCAACGTGTCTCGAAAAACAAAAACCACAACAAATAGATCCTCAAGAGCCCTCAGGCATGGAAGACGTTCTGTTCCAGCAAGTGGGCTTCTGACAGATGACAACTCTGGACCCAGAGGCACCGACCCAAGAAGAGTAGGAGGCAGCCTTCTCGGTCTCCCGGCCCTATCAAGCATATGTGTCCCTTTCCTAAAGGGCGTTTGAGTGTGTGCGAATGTGTGTGTTCACGAGAGGCAGGGTTCGGTTATTCGGCGTCAGCATCCTCAGCTTGACTTCAGCAACAGAAAGCATAGAATTGCTCTTTCCTTTCCGGTTCGAGAAAGCCTTTCTCGTGTCTTGGGCTTGGGTGCCTGGACAGCAATTCACTCGCTCTCAGGAGAGGCTGGGTCCCTCCACTTGCCAGCACCATGACGCCATGCAAAGTCAGGCAAACAGCGCCCTCTATGGGCTATCCTCGAGCCTACAGAAGAGGTTGAAAACAGAACCGACGCTAAGTATTTAAAAGCCTAGGCTTTACTATTCCTATCACCCTTGGAAAACAAGCATTTTTTTTTTTTTAATCTGCGTTATGGGAGAAACCAAAGGCGAAATCACCTGCAGGTCTCTGCAGATCTGTATCTAGCCACCTCTGGAAGAGGTCTCTCCTGCCTCTCATTCTCCTCTTGGCTTTCCATCTCCTTCTAAGGCCCGTTTTAGGTTTCCCTTGCAGCCTTTTCTCTGCATGTGGTCTTGACTGCTGTTGACTGAGCTTCAGGATGCATACTGCATAAGGCAAGGGGCTGCCTTATCTACCTTTTGAGAACACAGCGTACAGTTGGCCAGCGAGTGGGCATCTCAGTAAAGGCTTGTGTTAATGCTTAAATGTCTGAATTAGGTGAGAGGATAGGCAAGCACATGGATGAACAGACGAGAGTGGGTGGGTGGGTGGATGGGTGGATGGGTGGGTTCACAATTCCCACTGCAGAGGATTGACTGCTTGGTAAGGGTACTTCAGATACCCTGGCAAAATCCCCAAAACAGTCCTCCCAAAACAGTTTTTGAAGTGCTTAATGAAAATCTGGGGAAGTAACTGTGCAGCCTCCCTAATGCTGGGACTACACATATGAGCAACCACACTCAGATATGCTGAGGTTCTTTGACGACACTTTTAACAAACCCTACAGGATTTCCCAGGAACAGGTCTGCTGAAGAGTGCCTTACAAAAGGTTCATGGCACATGGGCTGTGCAGAATCAGATCTCCACACCACTCCCTACTATGACAAGTGGCCAAGAGGGCGAATGGGGCCTGGAGAATGCTAATGACCAACGCCAAACTTTTACACAAAGAATGAGGCTTGGCAAAGGGATGGTTAGAATTGCCCTCACACCCACCCCACACAAAACTCACATATGCATTTGCGCACCGCACAGTCAAGGTGGCAAGCAGATTGTTCTCCAAGGGAGGGGAGCATTGGCATGTTCTCTGGGCCCTCACCTAAGGCAGAGGGCTTCCTTCTGCCGCCAGAATGGATGAGTTCTTCTTAGATGCAGCATACAGAAAGGGTGGGAACCAGCTGAGCTTTTAGCCAAAGCTGCAAGACCCATACTGGAGAACCTCACACTAACAGCTACAGCTTGCCCTGTTCCTGATGGTTACATTTTTACCACCTAACTCTCCTGAATTCTGTGTTTTATTTTTGTTTTGTTTTGTTTTAGTTTTTTTGAATGCAGAATGGATCAAAGCCTGGAGCTGTGATCCCCCATAGAAACTCTGACCTGTCTCCAAGAAAGCCCCACCCACCTTTTTCCATGCTACTTGGAATACTACCAAAGGCTCCTGCTTTGGCTAATGGATGTGACCTTGAGGAATTATATAATCCTTAGGGATGGACTGTAGTCATATTGTCCTTGATGACAAATATGTCTTGAGTCACATAAGGGAACATATTATACAATTCCTAATAAGGGAAATTATTATGCAAAGCTAGTCTTAGACATCAATCATTGGTTAGGTCCTTGCTGCATACTGGCCCCTCTCCCAGGGTGGGGCAGACAGTACTATCATCCCTCCTTGAAAGACGAAGAAACTGAAGCACAAGATTGTATGACAAAAGGCAACAGATCTCACACGGAAACACAGCCTCATAGCATTGCTACGAAGTCACTTGGGGTAGATCATGAGTGCTGGCTATGGTTATGGTTAATTCTCCTCACTCTCCTCTTGAAAAAGATTTATTGATTTGTTTGTTTACTCGTCTGTTGTTTATTTTGAGACAGGGGCTCACTGTGCAGTTCTAGTTGACCTGAAACTCATCGGGATCTGCATGCCTCTGCCTCCCAAGTGCTGGGATTAAAGATGCCCACACAGACTATACTGTTCCCGCCAGGTTCTCTGAGAAAACTAAGATTCCTAACTCGGGTAGTTCTCTGCCATTCTCCCACTCCTCCTCCCAACTCTGGCATCTTCAAGTCTTTCTTTCTAAATAGAAATCTTCCACACACCGTTACATACAGGTTGCTTTCTGTCTTCAGAGTTCTTTTATTTCTTTCCTTCCTTCCTTCCTTCCTTCCTTCCTTCCTTCCTTCCTTCCTTCCTTCCTTCCTTCCTTCTTTCTTTCTTTCTTTCTTTTTTTAGATTTATGTATTTTATTTTTATGTGTATGAGTGTTTTGCCTACATGGCTGTCTGTCTACTATACGGGTTGCTTGTGCTCACAGAGGCCAGATGCAGGCCTTAGCTCCCCCTGGAGCTGGAGTTACAAATGGCTATCAGCTGCCATGCGCGTGCAGGGAATTGAACACAGGTCCTCTGAAAGAACAGCCAGGGCTCTTAATTGTTGAGCCATCTGTCCAGCCTCTCTTTAGGGTTCTTATGAGGGGGAAAGAACTTCAAATGTTTGTGGTTTTTCTCCATGGAACTTGTCTGTCTTGGGGCTAATGAGATGGCGTGCCAGGTAAAGGAATTTTCCACCAGGTCTGGTGACCTGAGTTCAATCCCTGTGACCTAAGTGGCAGAACGAGAGGACAGACTCCTTCAAGTTGTCCTCAGACCTCTACACACACCATAGCCTGTGTACACATCCCCCTACTAAACAAATACAATAAAAACGAAAGTGTATGGTATTTGGGGGGCTATGGCTGATAGCCGATGTGCCAGTCCCCAATTCTGAAAAAAACACGAGGACGCACCAACATGAGTCCAGCCGGAGCAAAGCAGGACATCTTTAGAAGAGTCCTTTCCGAAAGCGTTTGTGCAAGGTCCCCAGAGTCTGGGGACTCATCCGTTCCCAAGGCTCACCCTTTGAGAATGATGTGCTTACTCCAAAGTCCCACAGGGTCCCGTTGGAGATATTGTTCTTCAATTTCTTTTCTATTGCTGAGACAGGCTGGGATTTCCAAAGAAATGCTGCAAAGTACCAAGAACCCTCTCACAATGTATGGACTAAATATTTCTTGGTCAGCTGATATGTGCTCAGCAATATTCTGGACACTTGGAATGCCTTGTTGAACTTGCAATCCCTACCCTTAGGGACAGTGCACTAGAGCTGGTCTCAGGCAAATAGGTGATAAGGGCTATGCAAAATCCTAAAAGGACCTGAGAATACTGGGGTGGAAGGATGAGGATGTATTAAATAGGCAGGCAAGAGAAGCTGCACCAAGAAATTGAGGTTTGATCTAGAGCAGTGGTTCTCAACCTTCCTAATGCTGCGACCCTTTAATACAGCTCTTCATGTTGTGGTTGCACCCCAACCATAAAATTTTCATTGCTACAAGTGTAATTTTTGCTGCTGTGATGAATCAGAACATAAATAAATGGTATGTAGAATATCTGATATGTGACCCCGTGAAAGGGTCATTTGACCCCCAAAGGAGTCATGACTGACCCACAGGTTGAAAACCACTGATCCAGAGAGATGTCTCAGTGC